AGTGAACTCATGTTTTGATTTTAACATTTGAAGTATTGAACCTCCCCAGTTAACTATTGTATTCATAAATACTCGTGTATGCTGCTCTTGCTCTCTTATATCATGTATTTTGTTTTTGCTATGTTTGTAAAATGTAATTTTCTTAAATGTTTTATGTGAGGATGGAAATGAGCTCAAAGCTAAATCGCGCTTGAACATTTAAATGTTTGAAGTGTTCATTACTGTGCATTGTCCCTGCCAAATAAACGATTAAATGAAGAAAATATATATATTGGCTGTTTAATGCGTAGGAAAAAACCATTTTCCTCTGTGTTTGTTAACTGGCAAACTGAGATGTGGTATTGTAACTGCAGATACATTTGTAATTACTACAGTGGGGGGTGATTTTTTTTTTTTTGTATGCAAACAGAAAGGTGTGTTAGAAAAGGTAATCTTAGCGTTCGAGTCATCCCACTGATGAGTTCAATATTCACTCTTTTGTTCTGTTCTCTGTCTCTAACAAATCCTGAGCGCTGCACTGTTGACATACTGTTGTAGACCAAACTGGAAAGTAGCATCATCCGCATCAAAAATCCAATGGTATTTCTATATTGGATTTGGTATTATTGCAATGTATGATATATGATTCTTCACCAATGAACACCACTAGTTCATTACATACATCATATACATCAAAACCTGAGGACTAAATAAAACCTGTTTTGATTTGATTTGATACAATCACCAGAAGTAAAAAGCTCATGTTAGGCTAGAAACAAACTACACAAAATGTCTTAAACGTCACCAACACTAAACTCTGGTATTTACTGACGTCTTTAAAGATCTAGAATAAAAGGTTCAAATCTCTTAATCCTGTGCCAACCACAGACTTATCTTCAGGCATATAACCAAAATTCAAAGACACTGTGCTAAAATGCTAACTATTTGCTGTAAGTGTGTGTGGTACAGTGTGTGTGTGTGTGTGTGTATGTGTGTGTGTGTGTGTGTGTGTGTGTGTGTGTGTGTGTGTGTGTGTGTGTGTGTGTGTGTGTGTGGTACAGTGCGTAGATGTGGCGGACAGACGGGTCTCAGTTGGTTTGGTGTCCTATGCTTACTTGTAATACTTGTAAATACAACTTTTTAATTTCAATTCCCCATTTCAGCGACCAGAGAGAGGGGGGATTGTGTTACGTTATTATGAGAGTGCTCTCATACTTGTTTGATTCTGAAATTGTATATATTTATATAAATATATGTGTGTGTATATATGTCCGCATCTGTAGCCTGTTATTGTCTCATTATACCGCACTGTCGATGAATTAAAAGTAAATCGTCATGAACACATCTGTCCATCAGACAGAGGGGCTGCTGTGCCTCCTGTCATCATTAATGGACGTCTCTTTAAAATGACCGCTCAGAGGAGAGGAGTTCTCATTTCTCTAACCGCCTGCTGCTTCCCCTCCTCTCTCCTCGGTTCCCCTCCTCAGTCCTTCGCTCGCATCTCCTGTGGGCGGGACTAAGTCTCGAGGATAGGAGTCGAGGAGGGGAAATTAGAGTATTGAGAAACCTCTTTTGAAACATCTCTGTTCCTGGAAATGCATCTACGAAGGAGCCGTGGAGGACCATGGAGGACCCATCAGTGTATCCTCGGTTATTATAGCTCCTTCAGAGAGCCTCCTCAACGCTCGATCCTCTAAGTGCATTTAGAGAAATGAGATGTCCTTCAACATGGCGCGCTGAAATTCATTTCCGGGTCACTACCGAGGAGTCGAGGAGGGGGATTTGATTAAATGAGAAAGGGCCCAAGTTGCTGTAAAATCAAAACAATTAGCTAATAGACACTAAAAAGTAGATTTGAAGGCAACTTATTAGTTGCTTTTTCAATAGGTCCTTCAAAATGACCGTTAAACTGAATCAACACAACAGATAGGTTGAATAATACGATCTTTATCGAAGTGGTATTACCAACAGCGTTGTGTATTATAGTGGTTCTGTTATTTTGTACATACACACACCACCCTACATGCCTCGCCACGCTCAGAACTGCAGCTGAATTCCTTGCCTATCTCATGAGAGTATTTATAGGTGCTGACACACTCAACATTTACTTTGTGTGTGTGTGCATTTTGTGTGTGTTTTGCAGCCAAGGATTGACACCCCCATGTAGCAGAATCCACACGGCAACTGGCAACTACTTCACATTGTTTCCATTGAGCAGTTAAATATAAATGTCAGTATCATTTACAAAAATCTACAATAATGTCAAATGCATCATTCCATATGTGTTATTTTAAATTATGTGTGTTTTTTAAGTGCTGGAAGACTAAGTAATATGGTATATTTTTCTCAAACAAAAATGAAGCACTAGCACTATTTACTGTGAAAAATACTCATACAAAAAATACAATTTAAAGATTTGACAGAAGACAAATTAAAAAGGTATATATATATATATATATAAACACTAGCAAACTGTACTTTAAGCTTAAAGTAAAATACTTCCCTTTCAGAGTGTTATAATGTCATATATTAATTAGATATTACTTCTGAAGCGTATGTACACTATGAAACACCATGTGTATGTCAGTGGTGCAGAACATATTAACTATTGGTTGGATGGTTAAAAATGATCCTAAAAGAACTAAAGATGTTAGGTAAAAACTGCAATACTTGCCTTTAAAAGGTAGTGGAGAAGAAGTATGAAGTAAAGTACAAGTACCTCAACATTTCAATTAAGCACTTTAGAACATTTACTTAAAAGGTGATTTCAATGCAATGAAATTGTCCAATGTCAACCAAGCTTTTATTTTGATTAACTTCAAGGGAAAGCTGATATTTCATGATGCAAAACTTTGGCTCAACCAGCTGTAATGTAAATGTATTTTTTTGTACCTCTTTCTCCCTCCTGGTTGTTGCGTTTCTTCCCTTCCTTTTGCTTTCTCTGCTTCTCTTCTTCCAGCTTTCTTTTACGTTATTTCTTTTTTCTTCGTTGTTCTCTAACAGGTTCCTCTTTCTGTCCGTCCTGTCTGGGTGCTGTGTGTGTGTGTGTGTGTATGTGTGTGTGTGTCAGTATCAGAAGGAAATCATGATCCCATCCAAAACTGTGACGTAGGATTGAAGGCCCCCCTGCCCAGGACCTGTAAAACCAACCAAGCCTCCCCGAGCTCTCTTCTTTCAGTTCCCACCTCCACATCCAAATACAGGCACTCCTTGTCGCCCTCCCCTCCAAAAATATCCCATTAGAGGCCGTCCCTCCTCTCAGCCAACCCCGCCTCACCCCTTAGCCTTTGTGGATTTGGTTGTGTGTCTGTGTTCTTTTGAAAAAAGTTTTCTTTGGTGTCAAAAACACAGATAATCTGCTTTTAAAGGTGGGGTAGTTACGTTTGAGAAACCGGCTCGAGATACACTTTTTGTTATATTCCATGGAATGCTCTTAACACCCCGATAGCAATGAATATCTGAAGTGCTTTGACAAAAAATCCATACAAATATGTCATCTGTGGAAGCCGTAGTACTGTAAAAAGCAAGACCAATCATTTTAGCCGGCCCGGCTAAAATGACTGGATGGCCTACCTGCCTGTCAGCCTTCCATCTGTGCACAAACTTATCTCGTGCCCTCATTGGTCATGTGGCGTTCGTGTGTGTTGGAGGAGGGGCTCTGTGAGGAAGTTATGATGGCAGATTTTTTCCGGCTGTGTATTTTCAAATTCTAGCGCACTCGAGCTGGTTTCTCCAAAATTACCTACCCCACCTTTAAGGTTTAAAACACTAATATATATATATATATATAAATCTAATATAGCTAGTATTTAAAGTGGAATACGGGTCACTGTAATTATAGTTACTAAAGCTATTTACATTGGTGAAGGTATTCAGACCCTTTGCTTGATTAAAATAGAACAATGTAAAAAATACTGTGTTACAGGAAAAAGTGCCTGAATTCAAAAGTTAATTTAAGTGGTATAAAATAATTCCAAACATGTTTACTATAGAGTATGTAATGTAAAAGAAGGCCTTGTCTTTTAAGTGGGCATTTTTTGCTATACCTACTTTATACTTCTGCTTCATTTAATCTCAGAGGGAAATATACCTTTTCCTCCACTATATTTATTTCCTACTTTAACTAGATATAGCATGCCTGAATGATGCAGTACTTTACAACTTATCTAGACACAGTTCTTTAAATTGGCTTCAGATTAAGGGAACTACAACATTAGTTACATGTATTCATTAAAGATTTAAAGATACAATTGATAATATGAAACTATAACCTCGGTTATATAATTAAAGAACTTTGGCACCCATTATTTTCTTGCTTTTGAACCATTTTTACTTGCGATGTATCTTTGGTACTTTATGAGTGTAATGCTTGTTGCACCCCTGGTTATGTTATATATTTCGTATTATTGGATTTTTTTTTATTGATGCATTAAAAGAATGTATTAATTTCAAATACTTGCTATACTGTACAAGTAAATGAACTTTGTTGTAGTTATATAGTAGTATATAATATATCATTTTTGAAAAAAAGTAATTCTACAAATCAGTGATGGAATGTAATGAAGTACTTTTACTGGAGTACTATATTACATTATATTTTGGGGGAATTATAATTTATAACTCAAAGTAATGTGTATGTCCATGTTATGCTACTTTATACTACTACTCCATACTGCTATGAGGTCAACAGTAATAGTTATCTGAAAGAATATATGATGTTACAGGCTCTTTTACACAGCCTGTGGTTACAGGATACACAGTAAATTACACTAAATGCTGATTCAGCGTTTTCACTGACGTCAAACCAACAGGTGTCATTGCGTCCTGCGTCAGCTGTGCCGTGACGTACTTCCGACTTTTATCAATAATTTATAAACAGTAGTTTTTTCACCGAATGTTTCTTTACTTGTATAGTGTAAATGTATTTATTAATAATATTTGAGTAAAAAAATAATATATTGTAATTGTTATGCGTCTGTTGAGCTTAGTAGCTGTCACTGAACTAGCGGAACCGATCCGTTTTTTTCCCCATTCAGATGAAGTAGTTTCCGGGCGACAGGGTACCAGCAGTAAACATGGCGGAGGACCTGCTGGAAACAGTGGATAGACTTCAGTCCCGGCTCCTGGAGAACCCGGAGCCTCGAAAGGTAACGTTTAGACGGATACATGGTGTGTTTAGCACCGAATGCGTCCCTAAATGAAACACTTTGTCCCGGTTCCCTAAATCTGAGCCTCACGGTAGCTCTCCGAAAGTCGCAACCGTTTTTTAAATGCTGCGTTTGAGGGCCGCCTTCGTGCTCCGTCTTCTGATAATCTTTTCCGTAAAAGAGAATGCAACACCTTGTTCTTTTGGGTTGGAACTGTAAATACTATTTCCATAGTACAGTCGTTTTCTGTAATACTTGTTTTATTTATAATTTAAGTAGTTAGATAGTAGAAAGTAAAAATCAACTGAAGTAATAACGAAAAAAGAATGATAAACATGATGGTTCTAGTATAAGCATCACAATTCACATCAAGTAATAAAACAACATTAATTATTAGTTTACACTTGTCTCAGGTTACTTCAGGTTAAGAGAAAAATATATAGGCTAATGTCAGCTCCCTATCTGATAATACACTGACTTGTTTTTTCACTAAAATAAATAAATAGTTTATTAAAAACCTAGGATTTGCACATCCCCTATCCTTTATAAATACAAATGGTACTTGATAGTCTTGTCCGAATATAGCCCTCACAAATGACTTGAGTAAATAATGATACGCTATGTATTAAAAATGCTTTATCAGATTTATAATGTATACATGTGTGTTGTTATTAAAGATCTGTAGAATTTTTCTGATTAAAAAAACAAACAGTCAAAAAAACAACTTGAAAAGATATACATGAATCTCAGATTTTTTTTAAATGAAGAAAGGACTTTGTTGTTATTTTAATTGGCTTGAAACTAAGACAATGAGTGTACATCAGTATATCTTTCACCAATCCAATACACATGTGATTGGAGGTCTTTATATATCTTCCTTTCCTTAAAAAAAGACTCTTGGTGTTACAGAAGTAACATACATTTAACTTAAAACTAAGTCTTAGTTCAATCTTGATCTAATTGAACATACATATGTATATGTGGATGTAACTCCTGATATGTTTGCATACTGAATGCATGGTGAGGGTAACTGTCAAAACGACACTTAGCTGAATAGATCTAATTAGATAATCAAAAGTTGACACTATAGAATAGAATGTCAGTATTTCCAACAGTCTGTGAAGGCATCATGTGAAACGTCACGACAATTAAGGGGTTTTAACTTGTAAAAATGCACTTCTTTAAGATTACATTGGAGCTACTAATAACACTTGTCATCTCAGTTAAATACCGTTCATAGACAATTTATGTGTTATTAAAATAATAACATCAGACACAACGTAATTTATCTTGTGAAGAAACTCGGGGCCAGAGTAGCCGTTAGCCTTCTAGCTAACCAACGTTAGTGCGGAAAGTACTGACAGTTACACCGACTCCAGGCCTGTAATGTGAGCTGATAAATGTTAGTTCATGATATACAACAGCTACACATCAATGCACTGGGACCGAACTCTTAAAATGTGTCAAATTAAAAGCGGATAAAGGAAAATTAACAATGTCCGACCACCCCTTTGTTTACTTTCATTCTCAAATGTAACCTCCCAAAACAAAGCAGTCATGGTGTGTGAGATTTAGAAAACAGAAGATATACTCCGTGTTGTGCAACATATTATTTCATTTATTCAAAATGTTGAAATCACAGCTGAGTGATTTGACTACAGCCCGGACCCGTTAGGCCACGTTATAAAGTCTCCATGAGGATACAGGCTGCTACATGCTACTGTTCAGTCAGACACTGAGGTTTCTTACTTCACTGCCACTTACAGGCAGGAAGAGATCCCTAACCTCCGGGTAAAAAGCAGGTGTAGTTTCTTTAGGTCGGATTCTTTTTAAAGCACATAATGAGAACAAAGGGATTCCACACCTGAGTTTTTTAGTTGTACTTAAGTCACACTGAAGAGAGGTTGCAATTAAATCGTGAACAACTGGTTGTGATGTGCATGCCATGTATACATATGTGCATTTGGGCTGCAAATCACTATTACTTGAACTCTTCATTAACCTGCCCATTCATTTGTTAATGAATCGTTTTTTCTATTACATTTCAGAAAATGTTACACAAAACATTACACTTGCTCAGAGTCCAAGGTCTTAAAATGTATTGTTTTATCAGTCTGAATCTTATATTCACTTATTATGTATGATATAAAATAGCTATATTCAATTGGAACATGTCACAGTTACAACAGCTAAACCAAATAAAGATAGACAAATATATTCTGCCAAAAAAACATTATTATGAAACTTGTTTACAAAACTAAGCAAGTTACAATAACTGTACACTAACTTTTTACTGTACATATATACACTTATTTAGCTGTGACAGAGACATTGAAATGCCAAATGTGTTTCAAAATATCAATATCATTTGGTGGGGGTAGATTTTTTATTTAATTTATTTGATCTTAACATAGCAAAACAAGCATATACAAAGGTAACATTAGGTTTAACAAAAACAATTAACATATTTAGTTTTATATTTTAAGTGGGTTTTCTGAAAATGTATTGAGAAAGTTTGAAGTTAAAATAATCTCTTCTCGTTGCTTTCATCCACATTAATTTGGCAGCAGATGGAGTTTGCTTTATTGTCATGGAGATAGCTCAGTTGTTGCCATGTGACCCTTACCATTGAAGTTTAATAACAGTTTGATAACAGGTGGTCGTCCATGATAACTGAGCCAACTCCATCCACTGAGGAAGACCTTCAGATGGGGTTGTAAAGTTTCACGCCTAGCTGTTAAAAATGTGTTTATGGATAAATAGGGACAGTCTGTTTTTGGATAAACCAGTTAATGAACCTTATAAATGTAAGAATGTCGTGACATTAATGCCAACATCCTATAAACATATTGTATTGTCATTAAGCAGTCCTGTTTATTGATTTATCATTGATAACATACACCCAAAGATATTAATTGGTATTTATATCACAATATACTGTCATATATTCAACCCCTAATAATCAGCAACATGTTTTTAATGGTTCTTTTACAACTACCGGTGCTCAGAGAATATAGGTATTGTAAATTAACTCAACTTTATGTATTTATATATCCCCTTTCATGCAACATATACAGTGGTACAGTAGTATATGCATCCCAAAGTGCTTCACACACAAAATATGCAAGGCTTATAATGACCAATAATAAAAGACAAAATGTTAAAAATCTATTAATATAAGTCAATATAACAAAATAAACACCAAGGATGGAAAAACAATGTCAATAAACAACAATTAAAGCTTAAAAACCTTAACCTTTACTCTTTGTAAAAAATGTAAATGAAGAATACATTTATTATCTTTAATAATACAAATGTAATGGCACTACTGGTATTACTCACAACGTGTGGACCTCTGCTCTGGTATTTTAAATGTGTCCACTGAAATCCTTTCTTGTTTTTCAGCTGCTGAAGACTTTGAAAAGACTGGGGGAACTTCCCATGACAGTGGACATACTGGTGGTAAGGAGCCTCCTGATTTCTAAACTAAAAAAGACCCACCAAAAATATGATGCTGCAGTGTTGCAGACAGGAACAGTAAATGTAAAAGGAGCTCCTAAGCGTCTATAATCACTGACATCTCCATCTAAAATGCAATAATACAGCGTTTGTACTATGCAAGAATTGGACCTTTTGTTTAAAGTTATTTTGAGAGAACAATTATTTACTTAGTCAGCTTTCTATTTTCCTTCAAGCGCAATTTACAGAAATTCAATCAGATCACTCGGCTGAAGTTGCCAAAGATATGATAACAGCTGGAAATATAAGTATTATTAACTTATTTGACTGCTTGTGTTGTTAAATAATTAAATCTGTGTGCATGTTTTGACTTTCCTCTGCTTTCTCTTGTAGGAAACTGGAGTGGGGAAGATTGTGAATTCTTTTAGGAAACACCAACTTGCTGGAGAGGTGGCAAAAGGTCTCGTTGCCAAATGGAAGAAACTGGTTCCTCAGTCTGCAGACAGGTGAGTGCTGCATACCTGAGAGTGCACAAACAAACAGTGGTATTAGGGAGTGGAGAAGTCTTTAATATAACTATTGTAAAAACTTTACATCAAATATAAATATACCAAAAGCTAAATACAGTATAATATATGTAGTATTGGGATTTAAAGCGTAGAGCTGTACAGATATTTAAAAAAAAGCTAATCAACACTATTTAAAATGTACACAATGCCAAAAATAAAACAATGTTAGTGTTGAGGATCAAATCACATTTGGGTGAAATAAAACACTTTGGAAAATCTAAATGAGTTGAAAATTGTGGGCTGGATTTAAAAATAAAAACATACGGTTGCATTGTGAGAATGTCTCGTGTATCAGTAGATTGTTTTACTCCTGATCATTTTAAAACCTATTAGAGGCCTAAGGATGTCAATTAATTTGGTAATCAACAAGGAAAATAAACATAAAAAAGGAATTTGTGTTTTTTGTCAAGCTTTCCTATTCTGTTAATTGTCTCTCTGCCCGGCATGCATTTCTTTCAACTTCCGGGTTGGGATTTATTGTTCCAGTCTTAATAAATCTCTGGAGTTAAAGGAGAATGAATTATTAATATGATATGTTTTTATCCTCGGTGTATGTTTTTACCTCAGACCCACCAACAGCCACATCAACGAGGCTCCACGCTCACACAATAACTCTGAAGGCCCGGAGGCAGCAGGAGGCCACAGACGCACCCGGGAGCCCTCCCCGGAGGAAGAGCCCTCCTTCATGGAAGAAGAAGAAGAGGAGGAGGAGGAGGAGGAGGAAGAAGAGAAGGAAGAGAGAGGCTATCACACAAACTACTCGCCCTCTCCCCCCCACCAGGAGCAGTATACCCCTCCACGGCGGGGAGGCTACCAGTCAGACGAGTGCGAGAGCCCCGAGCACGAACCTGAGCCCGAGCATGAGCCGAGTCCTCCTCCTCCTCCCCGAAAAGAAGTCCGCCACGTCAAACCAAACAAAGAACCAATCAAAAATCACCACCACGGGTCCCACAGCGACAGAAACAGGGACAGAGACGAGGAGCGGCGGCAACGCCATGCAGAGATGAGTAGTGATCGAGGAGGAGAAGGAGAAGCCGATGAAGGGAGAAAACGCAGCGCAGACAGAGAGCGACAGCAGAGTCCGGTACAGAAGTCTGCAAAGCACAGCAGGAAGTCCACCACACAGGAGGGCAAGAGGGAGGAGAAGAAGAAGGGAGGAGATGAGGGTGAGTCTGATTGATGGAGAAGGTTGTGTTTGATAGAAGAGGTTAATGGTGACACCAAAGATAGCTCGGTGATAGCAAAACATGAATAGATTGGATACACAGGGTGTCCACGTGGTCTTAAAAAGTATTCAAAGTTGATCAATCAATTTAGCGAAAATGAAGGCTATTAAAAAGTATGAAACGGCATTTTCCAAGGTTTTACATTTTGTAGCTTGTTTTCAATAAGTATATGAATGGTCCAAAGAGGTTGTATTCTACAGTCTGCCTGAATGTAATCATTGCGTAGGTGTGTAGTGTGATTCTGTGTAGTTTATTTATGGCATCCCGTTGGATTGGACGTCATCTGAACAGGACATCTCACGCTCACTGCTTGATAGCGCGGAGGTCCGTTTACGCCGGTTGTTAAACATCGTTATGGGGAAATGCAAGTCTGCGTCCAAATGGTTGGAAGATAAGGAGGAAGGACAATCAATACTGTATATAGTCAATGTGAGGTAAAGTGTGTCGCCAAGGTAACCGGTTAAAACTCCAAGTGGCGATGAGGTCTTAAAATGTGTGGAAAGGGTCTTAAAAAAGGTCTTAAAAGGTCTTACATTTGACTTCAGGATTCCTGCATATAACCTGATATATAGAAGAATAAGCATAAAGGCAATTCAAGTGCTTTATGTAAAACAGAAAAAAAATCAGTGATGGTGCAAAAGAAAGAAACCAAAAGAAATGACATTCAAATACAAAAAACATTTTCAAACAGAGAAGTCATAAACCTTGATTTAAATTCATTCAGTGGATCTGCTGTTTTCTGGGAGTTTGTTCCAGATATCTCCTTAAAGATAACAACATAACACATTCATTTATTATACAGTATTTATACATTGACATTACACAAGTACATGATAGGAAAACAGAGATGTCGAGGTGGCTGAGTGGTTAAGGCGATGGACTGCTAATCTGCTGTGCACTGCATGCGTGGGTTCAAATCCCGTCCTCGTCGTAGAAAGGTTTATTTCAAAGCACCTGCTGCAATATAACAAAAAGCCTGGAAGCAGAGATGAGTTAGATACAGCCGCTGGACCCTTTTTCTTGTTTTGGTGTTCCAGAGCGGGAATTGTTTACACAAAGCTTACAATGCAGTTGCATTTCATAAACCTTTAATTGTTATATTCGATAATGATACTTTTTTTATCAGATGATAAGATGTGTAACTCTGCACTATGTTTCTGTTTCATCATCCACAAAATGTGCAACACCCTGCACGTCTAGTTGAGATACAATCTGTTTGTTAAGGGACTACCGACAGGAAGTAACCCTCTTCTAATTTATTCATGCGTGTGTTAAGGTACGGCTAAAACAATTACAAATTGTTAAACATTTACAGGTTCCAGCGTCTTTTGTCAAAGGTAACTTTTGGGCCAGAGTAACTTTATTACAGATGAAGAGTTGAAAGGGGGAGATGGAGGGGGGGAATGCTTGAAATATTCCGAGGACTCGGGAGTCAACCCGCTTTCTTGGCAGTGGATACAGCCGGCTCAAAGAGATACGATGATCTCCGTGCTACGGGTGCTCCTTGCATGCATGCAGTGCCATGTAATATCCAAGGATTAGAGACGGTTGGATGCTGATGTTTTGAGCATTGCAATATATTTATTTTCACTATGTTATTTATTTATGATTATCTTTAGGCTCAGCAAAGATTTGATGTCAGCTGTTGCTGTCTTTTTTTCTTTAGTTAATACTGAAATAGAGCCCTGCTGTTTTGTTAATGTCGATACAGTAGCTGTCCTCTTTAAATGTCTATGCTTAAGTTTTTATAGGTGTTGCTATCTGCTTTGTGTAGCGTGGTTCTACAAGCAAGTCAGTGCATTCATTGGGTGGTATCAGAGAGCTACAAGGGTCTGTAAATGCAATGAAAACATTTGGCCACAGCAAATCATTTATATTAAACATGTACTTTTTACTTTTGAATACTTCAGTACAAAGGATGTATTGAATAATTTAAGGGATATATGTGTACACATATAAATAATTAGTCAAAACAGGGCTAAATTTTACTGAATTATAAAAGGTATAATATGTGGTAAACTGAAGAGCCGTTTGGGAGCCGAAAGAGCCGGCTCTTCTTGGTGAGCCGAGCCAAATGATCCGGCTCACCAAGAAGAGCCGGAATTCCCATCACTAAGTCTAGGGAACAGCTTGTTAAATGTTCACATTTTCTGCTATTCATTGGCTTACAGAATAAACTGAATATCTTTGAGTTTTGGAAAATGTTATATAATAATACACTTCATTTATATAGCTGCTATATAATATGTAATCGGACAATTGTGTCATGTGCTCTATCATACATGACACAATTGTCCGATTTATTATACTTTTTTTTAAGATGCCTCCATTCATTGGTCTCCTTTGTTTACTTCCGTAACATAGTAAGATCACTATTTGACACCCTCGCTTCTATTGGCTAGCGCTTCAACACGTTGTACGTGATTGGCTAAAGGATATCTCTAACCGGTTGACCAATCATAACAGCTGACCTTTTTGAACATTAAAGCGTGGAGGCACAAAATACATATATGAACCTGAAAATGTATCATAATAGCTCCCCTTTAAAATTATTTGCTTTTTTGTAAACTAATGACTGAACATTTAATCATTTCATCATGAAATTGTAGTCTAATTGTATTGAACTTGAAGTAAAATATTTGGTCTGTTTAGGTTTGCAAAATTAACCTTAGTAGGAAATTATGTTAAATTGGCGTTGATTTAAATGATTTATTCAGTAAGCAGAAATGTCGGGATTTAAAGTTCCTGATTTCCCATCCCATTCTGCATCCCCTAACTTTTCCACTTGTGTTTCCAGGGCAACCGCGGGCGCCGAGGGAAACTCTGCTCAAACAGGAGGACGATGACTTTGAGACTCCCACCATGTCCTTCGAGTCTTTCCTCACATATGACGCCCCGACGCCCGTTAAGAAGAAGAAGAAGCCTTCATCCTCCTCCTCCTCACACAGTCGACCATCCCACTCTTCCTCCACGTCGTCCTCCCATCGCTCACACTCCCCTCCCCCCACCTCTTCATCCAAAGGGAGCAAAGCTAACGGCACGCAGAGCAGCAAGAGGCAACACTCAGGCTCCAACTCGGCTTCAACGGAAAAACGCAAGAGGGTAAGAACAGCGGTAGAGACTAAAGATATATTTGTTTACGAATATTAGGGATGCAACCAATAATTGTCAGAATGTTGTTATAACTTCCTGCAGCCCAAGGTGATGTAATGTGATGTAATATTTGAACAACAGTCTTTAACAATAAATAATCAGATAAGCATCACATATTTACATTGGAGCCACCGTCAACTTGAGAAAGTTTGTTTAAAGAATTAACTGTCATTCAAATAGTTGTTGATAGGTTTTTCTGTCAACTGACTAGTCGATTTAGTCGACAGTTTTAAATGAAAACCCTCCATGTTTTGATGCAGATGATCTGAAGAGTCCATGTTGTGTTGAAAATACTTTATTAAGCACTAAGCCCAACATCAACGCTGTTTTTTTTTGTAGCAGCGTTGGTTTATCTCACTGTGAAGGATTTTTGGATATACAAACACATATAAGGATCATTGTTGGTTTAAATAAAAAAATTACATCGAGAATTCATCAGATAAAAGTTGGAAAAAGAAATTTAGAGAAAAAAAACTTAAATTAGCGCCAACTTAATCATAGTAGTCTTTTGCAGAAAGATTAGCAATGAGGAAATACTCGAGATTTAATATCACCATATTACCGTAAGAACGCAAGTTATGCCGTGAATTAAGCCTATTCATTAGAAAGCAACCGATGGATTTGATTGAGGAGCTTTAGTGCATTAGGAATTACATCACACCGGAAAGAAGAAGGATATCGCCACATTTCTTTCTGTGGCACCGCATCACTTCCTGTGTGTCTTCATCATGTATTGCAAAGTTAAGCCATGTGTTTCTTAGACAAAAACTTTTTTTCCAAGTTTTATTCTTGTAGATTTGTGATTTTAGATTCTCAGAGAATAATCAAATTTTCCTCCAAAATGTTACACTTTAATATAAAAGGATTATTGTTGTAGTATGGTAAAAGCATATTTCCCCAAATATGTCATATCACTGCTTTTTTTCTGCCAATTTAATTTTCGTTTGCTTTTATTTATTATCCACTGTATTTGAATGCTTTATTTTAAAAAGTTGTTTTCTGATCCTGCTTGTTGATGTTGATCTGTTTTTGTTTGCAGGCGGTGGAGATCCCTGCGTCTCTCCCTGAGATCCCTCTGCCAGCCATCCAGCCCAACTACAGACCTCTGCCCTCCCTCGACGTCACTCCGCTGTCGCCTCAGAGACGGAAAGGTAACGCCCGCACCTCAAAGCTTCGTGTCTGCTATTTGAAGTATCATTCTTCGTAACCATTAAGGGGACCATCATTCCATAGCTTTACGAACTCAGTTTGTCTATCTTAATCCTCATATTATCTATTTTTAAACTTGGTCATACATTTCTACCACAGTTTCCTCTTTTTCTTTTATGCTGACAATGCTTTATTGTGACCTTCTGTGGAAGGAACAGGGTTACAATGTGCCCTTTCTCCGAAACCAGCTTTCTTAAATGTCATGTAAACAAGAAATCTGAGGCCTGTACGACGAAGCCGGTTCAACATAACCTGGATATGATTGAGTTACCCGGTTTACCTAAACAAAACAAACGCGCTCTCGCTAAACTGTCCTACGACGCTGGTTATCAACTCGTTAACTTAAGCCAGCCGTTTCCTATCTAGTTAGGTGCGCGTTCACATGAAAGGGGTGGTATTTGGAGCATTCGACCAATCACAAACATGGACAAGCGTACTGACAGCGCAGCGTCATACTTCCTGAATGAAAAGTGAACTTTAATATTAGACATATGAAGAAGTTAAACTTTAAACATCCATGACTTAAACACTTTATCCAGGATCAAAGCCACATAGCTGCACCTGCAAGGTGTGTTGCTTAAAATAATACTTCTGCATACAGTATGTGACACTGTGAGTGTTGCACGGCCAGATACGGCTCAGCTGACTCAGATAAGGAAATATATGATACATTATGATGTGATGTGCCGCGGACTGTACTAAGTCTTAATGTTACTCTGATCCGGTTACTTATGTTGGTGCAGATATTTAAGTAAGCTTTCTTAACGCTAATGTTATATTAGTCAGATTGCTCTGAAGATGGGAGGTGATATTCTATTCATGTTCACGTTCACACAGTCGGTGATTTTTGCCGGCCGTCTTTCCTGCAACGGCAGCTTTTCTGTATTTCCTTTCTCCTGTAATATGACTTGATCGCTTTAAACTCCGCACACTGAGCTCTGATTGGTCAGCAGGCGGTGCTTTCACTGAGTTGAGCTCTTAGCCTGCAACCTAACCTGCTCCGGACCAGAGGCTTGGGGCCTATAATACGAATCAAGATTTTCGTTTAGCAAGCTAACTTCTGGGATTTCCGGTCCTACGAAGCTGGTTCATACGGAGCCCCCTAGGGGACATGGAGAAGACATTTTTTTTTATTTGAACAAAACAAAAACAACAAAGTTTTGCAAGGTATCGTAAAACCCCTTTGCAGCAGATTGTGACCAATTCTTGATGTTTAGCTCGGATGACGGCGCGTATCGAACTGTTCTGATAAAAACGACTCTGTAGCTCGTTGTCTACCTTGCTATGTTTGTAAAGTCATGTTGTTTGTATTTTTACAACGTTATGTTCATGAGTTATTGATCCGCGAAATTCGAATCTGTCAATAACTCAGCTCAGAGGGACGTACAGTCTACAGCCTACTGTCCAGGCAGTCCAGTACAGGCACTGTGAGTGCAGACGTCGATGTGTTCCATTATCATTCATATCACATCATAATGTATCATATATTTCCTTATCTGAGTCAGCTGAGCCGTATCTGGCCGTGCAACACTCACAGTGTCACATACTGTATGCAGAAGCATTATTTTAAGCAACACATTAAGTTGACGAAACAATCAGTCAAATGTAATTAAAGTCAGATCGTGTCTTAGACGGGGCATATCATAAACCTGTTAATGTACGCATTCAAACACTTGTTCTTTTACCAGCTGTATTCACCTTGCAGGTGCAACTATGTGGCTTTGATCCTGGATAAAGTGTTTAAGTCATGGATGTTTAAAGTTTAACTTCTTCATATGTCTAATATTATAGTTGACTTTTCATTCAGTAAGTATGACGCTGCGCTGTCAGTACGCTTCTCCATGTTTGTGATTGGTCGAATGCTCCAGATACCACCCCTTTTATGTGAACGCGCACCTAACTAGATAGGACACGGCTGGTTTGAGCGATCGAGTTGATAGCCAGCGTCGTAGGACAGTTTAGCGAGAGCGGCTTTGTTTTGGATTAAGTCAACCGGATAACTCAAAACATATCCAGGATATGTTGAACTAGATTTGTAGCATAGGCCCCAGGCCTCAGGTTAGCCGTTCAGCATAAGTTACCATGGAGATCTAGCCCGCTAAAAAGAGAACCAGCGTCGTAGGACCGGAAACCCTGAGTTTTCCCTGAAGTTAGCCCGCTAAGCGAAAATCCGGCTTCGTAGTACAGGCCTCAGGTTTCTGTAATTGTGGAAAGGGATCAGAGGACCCCATATTCTTCAAGGGACAGTGGATTTTTAGGGCAATTATATGGTTGACGGGGTTTCTTCTTGATTTAAGAAATGTACAGTATGCTCACAAATAGAAAGGTATGCATTTTCAGTTTTTACAATCTTAATCCCAACCCAAGAGTAAACATAGGAAATAAAGTGAAACAAAGGAATAAAGTGATAGTTTTGTAGTATAAATAACAATGATAACAGTACGTTAAGTAGTATGTAAATAAATATATAGCAATGAAATAGAACTGTAGACAAGAAACGTAATCATTTATAACAATTAACTAAAGGCAACTGGTGGAAAATATGCAAGTAAAGGAAGAGAAAATAATGTATAAATATATCCAAGGCTGTTGCAGTACCATAGGAAGTCCCAGACACGGAATATTCAATTAAAACTTTATTTAATTTATTGATCGCAAGGCATTGCTTATTTATTACAAATGAAACAAAACAGAAATCAGACATTTTAGATATCAGCCTAATTGTACTGTTTACGGAATACTTTTTTTAAAAGTAACTTCTTGTACAACGCCAAAACTTTCTGGATGTTGCTTCACATTGAAACTACTCCACAGCCCATTAGGTAAAATCTCAGTTAGCTAAAATACACTTAGAAATTGGCAACCCATGCTTTCTATATATGGTGAGGTGTTGGGGAGGCTTCTCCACCGCTAAGAATTTGGGTGTCAAATACGTAATTGTTACCTTGATGTTCATACAAGTGAATCTTTGCTTTTGTGCCAATTCTAATCTTGTCCTTCTTGTTTTTTCCTTCTTGTCACTGTATCTGTAAGAGTTCGTGCTGCCCTGCTGTGTCAAACTGTCTGACTCTCACTCCCTTCTTTACTCTCAGTTCCTGTCAGCAACGATGAGGAGGATTCCGGCTTCACAGGGAAGAGATTCAACTCTAAGATGACGGTCTACTCGGGATCAAAGACCGCCTACCTGCCCAGGATGATGACTCTGTACGAGCAGTGCATCCGCGTACTGCAGAACAACATCGACTGTGAGTGTTCCTGTTTGTTCATGAAAAACACTGAGTCGCACTAGAGCACCTGCTGATGCCTGAGTAAGCACTGCATTGGAATGCATGAGTTACTACTATAGTAAGTCTCTGGAACAAATAGTGAAGCTGTTATAGAGGTGCCGGAGAGGTGTGGCTCACCACCTGGAAGATAAACAGAAAGTCTTTTCACAATTACTGGATAATGTCAATATGTACTCCTCTGCGGTCACTTCCCATCTCAATTCAAATGTTGCTCGCAAACATTGTAGTTCCAAAGTTCTCTTACCTTAACCTCAATTTTATTTTCAGTTTTAGAAACATTGGGTATTTTTTTCTTTTTTAAAATATATTTCATAATCCTGAGATTAACCTGTTATGACATGTTTAAATAAATAAAAAGATTCTCCCAAATCAATCAATCAATCAAAGTTTATTCATATAGCCCAATATCACATATTTTACATTTGTCTTAGGGGACAAGTTGAAAATCACAAACATATGCAGTGTAAATATAAATAAAATGTAACATGTACAAATATTTACTTTGCAATACCTTAAAAAAACACTATCTTGTATTTTTCTCCAAAAAAGTGGTTTTTCATTAAATACATAATCACATTTGTAATATTACATACTTGCCCAAAGTAGCAGTAGTCAAGACTTTATACAAATCAGAACCGATGTTGTGGCATTGTTCCTTATCACACAAGTGGCTGGTTGGAACAAACAGACCCTGCTGCACAGATGTGACTCGGTGCTTCTGTGCTCTTTCAGCCATCGCTGAGGTTGGAGGAGTGCCGTTTGAGATCCTGGAGCCGGTGCTGGAGCGAGGCACTCCGGAGCAGCTGTACCGCATCGAGCAGAGCAACCAGGTAACACACAGAACACTTTCAATACTGATGTCCTTTGTCCACATCATACCTTCCATTGTGTTATGCTCTTTCTATGGGTGGACTAGACACTGAGTGACACCTGACATTTTTGTTCAAAGCACGTTTGTTGTATTTTAAACATTACAAAGCACAATTTAAAATAAGGTTAAATTTAACAAAACATAAATAATATATACACACAAAAAACTCATGTCGGGTAAGGGAAGGGACATTTATACAAGGGTATCAATAATATAATTAATGAAAGGGATTCCACAGAGATCACATTTAGGATTCATATTAATTGTGGCTATCTTTTTACTTTAGACCAGGGGTTCTCAAAGTTTTGATGAGTGAGGGCCAATTTAGGTACCCAATATTGGATTGAGGGCCGCCCAAGAAAAAACGGAACACAAAATAATTCCGAAACAAATCCTTTCTTTATTGTACTAACCAATTACCGCAACTCGCGAGATGCCTAGTTGCCATGCAACCAGTAGTCTAGCAAACTTTCCACAAGCTGTCATTCATAATTTAGGAATGACAACCCAGGGGGCGCAGTTTTACCATTCTTAAATTCCATTCTAATTCTTACTAGATACAACCATGGAGGATTAAAATATAACGCATGCATTTCAGCGTGTCACATTAACTATCGCGGGCCGCCAGAAACATTTCCGAGGGCCGCCATTGGCACTTTGAGAACCCCTGCTTTAGACCAATGCAGCCTATGAGCAATTCTTAAATGTGTTAATATATTTTTTAAAGAAATTGAAGGTAAGTGTAGCTACAGATTGCCACATCTCAACATATATGTATCTAATCCTTTTCCCAATTTCCTCTTTAAGTGAGACTGCTGAGATTTAACAACTGACCTGGTTTATTTTCATTCACATGTGTGTTAAGCATTTGCTTATAACAAAACAAACTCCTTGAATGTTTAAACTTATTTGGCAATAAAACTGATTCTGATTCTGAGAATACTGATGGCTCTGGCATTGATTTTGTTCTCCTCTGCTGCAGTGGTTTACGGAGGAATCTGACGAGCTGTGGATGCGTCACTGTCAGCGGGACTTTAAGCGCGAGTCTCCTCAGGAGTACGAGTCGTGGAGGGAGATGTACCTGAGGCTGCACGACGAGCGTGAGGAGCGCCTCAGGATGCTCACCCAGAACATCTCCTCCGCCCACGCCAACAAGCCAAAAGGTAGGAGAAGCTCTGGGACAAAATGAGCAGCAATCAATACATCTAATTTTATTTTTAAAGGACACATACACATACAGTTTAATGCAGTTCAAAGGGCTTCACAGATGACTGACAAGCCCAAAAAAAAATCAAAAAGTACACCGTTAAACTAAAATGTTACAAACACTTTAAAGCAAATGGGAGGCGTGTGGCGCAGAGTCCTGCATCGGGTCGGGTACCCGACGGGTGACCCGGAAAAAAATAGTGATTCGCGGGTGGTATTTTTTCAAACGTTTTTTTCAGGGTTCGGTTCTGGGTAAGCCATGTGTTTCTTAGACAAAAACTTTTTTTCCAAGTTTTATTCTTGTAGATTTGTGATTTTAGATTCTCAGAGAATAATCAAATTTTCCTCCGAAATGTTACACTTTAATATAAAAGGATTATTGTAGTAGTATGGTAAAAGCATATTTCCCCAAATATGTCATATCACTGCTTTTTTTTCTGCCAACTTAATTTTCGTTTGCTTTTATTTATTATCCACTGTATTTGAAAGCTTTATTTTGAAAAGTTGTTTGATGATGCGGGTCGGGTCGCGGGTGTTGCATAATAAATATATGAAAATAATAATAATTGCGGGACCGCGCATAATCATAACCTCTGCAGCACATCAATCTGCTGCTGTGCGCGCCACATTCGAAATGGCTGAGGTGAAGTTCTCTAGCGGAGAATACAGCATTTTAAATAAGACTTCCTCAAGAGCGAAATCCAACGTCTGGGAGGCTTTTGGTGTCCTCCTAGATCAGGGGTGGCCAACCTGCGGCTCTCGAGCCGCATGCGGCTCTTTGCCTAGTTTCATGCGGCTCTTCAGTTCATATTGAATTTTATATGTGTGAGTTTGGGGGAGAGACACTGACTCCTGACTAATGGTGCACGGTGTACCGATACTTGAAAGGTATACCGCGATACCCTGCCGTTAAAAACGTTACGATTCCTCCGTTTAAGAATGACGGCGGAAAGTACTCCGGTGAGAAAGCGCCGTTTAAATAAGAGCCGTGTGTGTTCAGCGCTCTGCTTCCACTCCCTGCTCTGCAGCCGTGCTTGCAGTCCCTCCCCTCTCAAGCACGCTCAAGTGCCTCCCCGCTCTTGTGCACGCGCTAGCTGCCAGAGCATGTGAGAAAACGAGAAGCATGGCTGCAAGTGGGAGTGCAACTGCCGCTGCCCCTCGGCTTGTTGACAAAAAAGACGCCAGAAGCGAAATGTGGAAGTATTTTAGCTATATCTCTGACAGTGAGGGCAAGCCTACGGACACCACAAGGCCTGTCTGTAAGAAATGTATTAATTGTATTTAATACGAATTCTTGTCATTTATTGTATTTATTGTTCTCATTGTTTAAAGGTTGTGTTATGGTTATGGTTCTGGTCTGAAATAAAGCACAATAATTACATTTAAGACTGTTTCCCTTTTTTTAAGAAAAGTATCGAAAAATAATCGGAATCGCAATTCTTGACTTGGTATCGAAACCAAAATGTTGGTATCGTGACAACACGACAGTTAAACCTGATATTTAGTAGGTCTGTTAAGTATTGAATGCTGATAATTCTGACGTAATTTGGCCGGTCAAAGTTGTTTGGGCTCGGATAAAATTGCTCCGTTACTTTCGTCCTGTGTTACTTTCGTCCCGTGTTACTTTCGTCCCGGCTCTCCCTACGTGTGTATGTGTGGTGTCAGGTGTCAGTATGAGAGGATGACAGTGCGTCTAATTTTGATGTGGCCCAAGAGCCAATCACAATAATACCTGCGATGCAGTGAACCAATCACCTTTGAGGGGGGGAAAACCTATCGTTGATTAAACACTATTATCCAGTGTTTCCCCTACCATTGTCTTGGAAGGGCGCTGCACCCCGCCAACGGAGCCCCGCGCCCCCCCCCTGAAATTCAAGGTGTTTAAAAAATATATATAATTTTTTTTTAAATATATATATCGCACCAAATTGCAAATAATCTATAACTACTGTCACTTTTCACATTGAACATGTGCTCTTTTATTAAATAAACTAAACGCTTTCATTTGAAGTTGTGAGTTTAGTGTTTTTGACCCTAAGAAACACTGATGCATTAATCAATAACAATAATCCACAGCTCCTCTCTCTGCTCCAGAGGATTTAAAAAAAAAATATCCCAATGCCACAAAAATGCATCAGTGACGTGGTTGAAATCTTGTCTCCAGAAAACAAAAAACTGAAACAAGCGGTATCAGTGACTGTGTGTTTGATGTGGCTCTTTGCAGTAACATAGAAAAAATGTGGCTCTTAACCTCTGACTGGTTGGCCACCCCTGTCCTAGATGGAGAAAAGAACCAACATCCCACGCTTTTTGAGACAAATATGCCCCACTGCAGTCAGCATGTCGTTGTGTCCCTGAGACCCTTCACCCCAAATTGCTCCTGTGGGGATTGTCCACAGTATTGAGTATGTAAGTCGCTTTGGATAAAAGCGTCTAACAAGTGACATGTGATGATGTAAATGTACGGAGACAATGAAAAAAATTCAAATTAAACTAATTCTTAATTTCCCCCAAAAATAACTCTGAATATCATTTTAAAGCTATACAACAATAAAGTTAGTGTTAAATACAATTAAAATAAAACAGAATAACATATTAAATGTTTTTAAAATTAAATTAATTGATTCATAAAACGACAATAGAAAATTATAATTTTTTAGAACTAACAATATCGTAAGTGAATCATAAATTAATCCAAAAACAAGTTTCTAATCAAAAGCCTTCTTCCATTAATATCTACACAAACATCACCATTTGTTGTTGAAGTGTATTTGTTAGTGTTTCAGTGCTGGTGTTGTGTTGGTCCTGGCAGGGCGGCAGGTAAAGATGGCGTTTGTGAATTCTGTGGCCAAGCCGCCGCGTGACGTCCGCCGCCGTCAGGAGAAGTTCGGCACCATCAGCGGTTCTTCAGCCTCCTCCACCTCAGCGGCCGCTCCCATAAAGTCAGTATCGTATTTTTCATTCAGGTTTATGACATTGGTGTTGAGATAGAATAAGATACAGATGCATCACTATATGTGACTTGTATTTATGTATGCACAGGGAGTTCAATTTTAAATATTTCAAATCCACTCAAAAAATGACTACAAAATATTTGGAAATTATAATAACATTACATACAATTTCAATTGGCCTCCTTCAGTTATGGAATTACCCACTGTCAACATGTTCAATGATTGTTAAAGTAAAAGTGTGTATTATTCCAATTTGTTGGCACATTCTTTCTCCATATCCTCAATTTTAGATATCCATCTATTTCTTTAGACAAAGACAGCATTTTTTGATGCATTTTTTATTTTAATTTCAGGACATTAAATTACTGTTTCATGTTTTTCTGCCGTATCAACATGGATAATTTAACAAACTCCCTTCACATTTTGACGCAAACAACACCCCACTTCATTAGCTATGCAGTTAAAGAAAGCATAATATAGTTCTTAAATATTTATACAATGAAGTACTCAGTTAGTTAATTAACTGATTTATCAATCAGCAGGAAATTACTTTTAATTAATCAATTGTTCAAGTAATTTACAAAGCAAAAATAAAAATAAAATACTTTCTCTTCTTAGCTTTTTATGCAGGGATTTGCTGTTTTTCTACATGTTAAGGACTTAATTATAAATCAGTTAATGGGAAGAAAATGATCAGTAGGTAGAAACCTCATGAAGAGAGGAGGGGTCCCTCTCCCCTAACCCAACGATCAATTCAGGACCACCCAAAAAGTTGACCTTTTGTTTTACATACAGCAACGTGACCAACTTTTTTTCCCTTCCCTTTCAGAATAAGACCAGCCACCATAAACTACTCTGCAGAATCGATGCGCTCCTCTTCCTCCCAATTTAACCCTTCTGCAGGCGTGTCCCGCTCCTCAGCAGCAGCAGCAGCAGCAGGAGGAGCAGGAGCAGGAGCAGGAGCAGGAGGAGGAGGAGGACCTGCCGCCAAGGACAAGCCACAGGTCAAAAGTAAGTGTTTGTGTAAAGGGCTTTGAGTTTAGGATCTTTAAAAGGGACTACATTCTTTTTCTATTTGTTCTCAAATCTCCCAACGCTTTTTCCTCTGGCAGAAATCGCCCCCATGATGGCCAAAACTATCAAAGCTTTCAAGAACCGATTCTCCCGCCGATAGTGTGAAAGAGACTGAATGTATTTTATCAATTCCAACTGTGTTTTTAATTTTTTATTTAAGTTGAGCAAAATTGTAATGAAGACCCCTTCATCCCAACACACACACACACACACACACACACACACACACACACACACACACACACACACACACACACACACACACACACACCATCATCTTTACCCATCGAACATATCATAGGAACTTTTCAGTATTGCTTGAAACATGGTTCGTTTTTTAAAATGAAATGACGGTCGATAGGTTCGAGCTCCGTGTAAAAGCAATGAGTCAACCCCTTTTTACAAGACGCAAAGGACACACACGCACACAAATACACTCGCACTTGCAAACACACAGTCTGTTACTTTTTCTTGTTTTCCAGCAAACTTTTAAAAAAGGAATAGCTCCACTCCTTTTGGGAAACACTATTTTTCCTAGTCAACAAAAAGATTGATACCATTCATGACTGTATGTTAAATATGAAGCTAGAACCAGGAGACGCTTAGCTTAGCAGTCTAACTGGAAGCAGGTGGGACACAGCTAGCCTTGATCTTTACAAAGGTAACAAAGTTAGTTGGAAACTACTACTATTTTTGTACATATTGAAAAACTGAGAAACCTATTCATATGTGGTGGTAGGGTATTGCTGAAATGCTAGCTGTTTTCCCCCGTTTCCAGTCTTTATGCTAGTTAGCCAGCTAATGGCTTTAGCTTCACAGTTTAGCATACACAAGATGGAGTGGAATAATCTTCTTATGTAACTCTTGGCAAAATATAAATTAGCATTCTCCTTCAACTAAAATAGCAAACTTTTCTTCATGAGACAGAAAACAATACGAATTCATTGATGTTTTAAGATTAGCTGTTTTTTAATCACGATCAAATGGTACACTACATGAGGAAAAACTTTAGACTACATAGCCTACCGTTGCATTTTTTTAATCTTAATTGCATGCATGGTGCACGTCAGCCGAGACAAAAACTGGCTCGTCAAAGACCCTGCTTTTTAAAATCAAACAAACAGATGCATATTTAAACGTTTCTTTGTGTAGGGCTTTACTGATATCAGTCAACTACACACACGCACACACATTGTAGACTTATTTTCAACCCTCCTGTGGTTTCAGATCATGTTTTCCTGCTGTTGAATGTGTGTGTCCCTGTTGTTAATATATGCACACTGTGACAAATGGCTTGAGGGGGAGCTGAAGAGACTGCAGGAGAGAAGAACATCAAGCAAACGCAACAACGGGGAAATTATGTAATAGGACGTCTGCAGCTTCAGTTTCTACAACATGATGATGAGATGTATTTATTTTCAACACTGGGACCTGGTACCCGACAACATGGGCCCGAATGGAATTAGATTAAAAATTGTAATTTTATTAGATTTTAATAAATGTTATATGGTCATTTTTATTAAAATTGACTTTTTGCCCTTCATTTTGTCGAGGTGATTTATTGAGCACACATCCCTGTGCTTTCTTATGATCTTCTTTCTTCTTTTCCGCAGAGGAGATACACCGTATTATTACTGTATAATATTGTTTTCAACCTTAAATCATGCAGCATTTATTACCAATTAAACCTAATACTTGTGTTTTCTCAATTGTTTCAAATATCTCTTATCATAAAGGTTTATCCTGCTGAGTAGAGTAATTTTAGAATTTTTACATTTATGCTTTATTTTAGTTTACTTTTCACCTTATTTTGCCTCACATTTTATGAAATCTTTGATATTTTAAAATTAAACAATTCTGAAAACATTTCAAGTAATTGAGATTTGCATATTTAAGTTAATTTGTCAAGTTAAAATATTTTGAATCAAAAATATTAACTAATGAATTCTTAAACAGTAATAAAGATTAAAGGTGGGGTAGATAATTTTGGAGAAACCAGCTCGAGTGCGCTAGAATTTGAAAATACACAACCGGAAAAAATGTGCCACTTCCTTACAGAGCCCCTCCTCCAACACACACGAACGCGCACATGACCAATGAGGGCACGAGATACATTTATGCACAGATGGAAGGCTGACAGGCAGGTAGGCCATCTAGTTATTTTAGTCGGGCCGGCTCAGATGATTGGTTGTACTTTTTACAGTACTACGGCTTCCACAGATGAAATTTTTTTTTATGGATTTTTTTGTCAAAGCACTTAAGATATTCTTTGCTATCGGGATGTTAAGTATGGAATGCCATTTAAGCCAAAATTAAATAAATACATAAATAATTAAATAAATACATTGTGGTGACACGTTATTGGACATAATTCACCTTGCTTATTGTGTTGCCACACGGACCCTTTAGTGGGGAACACCTGTAGCTTTAGCTGCCATTCCTGCTAGCTCATCAGGCAGAGCAGTGCATGTGTTAACCTCTCTGAAAGTAATGGATAATAAAGATTGGAACTCCATTCTTAATACACCGCCTCCGACTCTCTTTTCACGGCACTACACTGGTGACCCTGACTTTTCCGAGAAAGTTTCCGGAAAATTAACGAACATGGCTGAGCGCGATGTTTTCATAAAGCTGCCGGAATTCTGGGAGCACACCGCGGAGGCATGGTTCGCACACGTGGAGGCACATTTCGCCTGCCGACAGGTCCGTGACGGGGACCTAAAATACTACCATGTGGTAGCAGCGCTGGGGAGCTCCACGTCGTCCAGGTTGGTGGGATTCATCGCAGCCCCCCCACATCATGGCAAATATGAGGCGATTAAGGCCCTTCTCCTTAAGACATTTAGCTTATCTGCTAAGGAGAGGGCCCGCCAGATACTTGACATTCAAGGCCTAGGAGACAGCAAGCCATCCCAGCTAATGGAGAAAATGCTAAATCTGCTAGGGGGGGGAAGATCCCCGTATTTTATTCACGGAGATTTCCCTGCGTCACTTGCCTCCCCGGGTACAGACGACGCTGGCCAACACGCCTGTCACGGAGCCCCGTGCTTTGGCTGAGGAAGCGGATCGTTTTTTCCTGGCTACGCAACAGCCCGGGGCAGAGACGTTAACCGCGACGCTCAGCGGCCCACCGGCAGTCAAGAAAGCGTGGCGGAGGCCGGACACGGCTGTGGCTAGCCGGCGTGGAGACGCCGGAGAGTGCGTTTACCACGCACGTTTCGGGACAAGGGCGAAGAGATGCATCGCTCCGTGCAGCTACAAACCCCCGGGAAACGGAGGGGCCGGCGCTCAGTAGTGGCTCTGAGCGTCGGCGGCACGTGCAGGCTCCTCTTCGTCAGCGACAGCGTTTCGGGGAGCCTGTTTCTGTGTGACACGGGCGCTCAACGGAGCGTAGTTCCAGCGTCGAGTGAAGATGTCGCCCGTGGGGGGCACGGACCGCGATTGACGACGGCTAACGGCAGTCCCATTCGCACGTACGGCGTGAGGCCTATGTGTTTGTGCATCGGAGGACAGCGTTTCAGCTGGGATTTTGTGACAGCGGACATTTCTTTTCCCCTCCTCGGAGCGGATTTTTTGTGTGCTCATGGACTCTTAGTGGACGTTAAGAATAGGCGTTTGGTTGATGCCTTAACGTTTTCTTCCCTCGTGTGCACACTTGGCAGCGCAGCGTACGACGGGCTGTCAGGCTCGCTGTCAGGTGCAGACACGTTTCTCAGACTGTTGGCCGAGTTTCCAGACCTGTCGCTACCCACCTTCTCTGCGCTTACCACTAAGCATGGCGTGGAACACCACGTCACTACCGGAGGGCCTCCTGTCTACGCCAGGGCCCGGCGGTTGAACCCTTCTAAGCTGGCTGTAGCGAGGGCGGAGTTCGCAACCATGGAGCGCCTGGGCATTGTCCGCCGCTCCGACAGTCCTTGGGCTTCCCCCCTGCACGTCGTTCCCAAATCGAATGGCGGGTTCCGCCCGTGCGGGGATTACCGCCGACTCAACGACGCCACTACGCCTGACCGCTATCCGGTGCCGCACATTCAGGACTTTTCGGCGCATCTGGCCGGTACGGGGGTGTTTTCCAAGGTGGACCTGGTGCGTGGATACCACCAGGTGCCCATGCACCCCCTGGACATCCCCAAGACAGCAGTGATAACGCCTTTTGGACTTTTTGAGTTCCTGCGGATGCCTTTTGGACTCAAGAATGCCGCTCAGACGTTCCAGCGCCTGATGGATTCGGTGCTGCGGGACCTGCCGTTTGTGTTTGTTTACCTCGACGACATACTCGTCGCCAGCGCTTCAGTGCAGGAGCACCTGTCCCACCTCCGAGCCCTTTTCACACGGTTCAACGAACACGGATTAATCATCAATCCTGCAAAGTGCCAGTTCGGGGTGTCGGACATCGATTTCCTGGGGCACCGCGTCACCAAGGGCGGTGCGACACCTCTGCCAGCGAAGGTGGAGGCTGTTGCGGCGTTTCCTCGCCCGCTCACAGCCCGGTCGCTCCGTGAGTTTCTGGGGATGGTGACTTTCTACCACCGTTTCATCGCCCGGGCCGCACACATCATGCGGCCGCTGTATGAAGCGTTGAAAGGCAAGACCCCCGTCCAGGACATCGACTGGACAGCAGAGGCGGACGGCGCTTTTGCTGAGGTCAAGACCGCGTTGGCTCAGGCGGCTTTGCTGGCACACCCATCATCTACGGCTCCCATCTCCATCACCACGGACGCGTCAGACTACGCGGTCGGCGCAGTGCACGAGCAGTGGGAGGAGGGCGCTTGGCAGCCGCTCGCCTTTTTCAGCCGCCAGCTGACGCCTAGAGAACGCAAATACAGCGCCTTTGACCGGGAGCTCCTCGGACTTTATTTGGCCGTGCGGCACTTCCGTTTCATGCTGGAAGGCCGTGAATTTACGGCGTTTGTCGACCACAAGCCGCTCACCTTTGCCATGTCAAAAGTGGCGGAGCCTTGGTCGGCACGTCAGCAGCGGCAGCTGTCCTACATATCGGAGTTCACTACGGACATTAAGCACGTGGCTGGCAAGTCGAACCTGGTTGCTGATTGCCTCTCCAGGGTCGTCATCGGTGCCGTCCAGTTGGGCCTGGACTATACTCGCATGGCGGCAGACCAGGTCACAGATCCCGGCGTCCAGGCCCTGAAGGTGGAGAGCGCGGGGCTGCGCTTGGAGGACGTGGTGTTCGGCGACGCGGGCATTACTCTCCTGTGTGACGTCTCTAGGGGCCTGGCGCAGCCTGTCGTCCCTGCCAGCTGGAGGCGTCCTGTGTTCGAGGCTGTGCACGGCCTGTCACACCCCGGCGTTAAACCTTCGGTCCGTTTGGTAGCGGCGAAGTTCGCTTGGCAAGGACTGAAAAGGGACGTGAGGACTTGGGCCAGGGAGTGTGTGGCTTGTCAACGCGCTAAGGTGCACCGCCACACGAAGGCCCCGTTGGAGCGTTTCCTGGTGCCTGAGAGGAGGTTTGATCACGTCAACATTGACCTGGTTGGTCCGTTGCCTTCCTCTCAGGGGTTTTCCTACCTCCTCACCATGGTGGACAGGACGACCCGTTGGCCGGAGGCGGTTCCGCTCGTTTCGACATCAGCCGCAGACGTTGCCCGGGCCTTCATTGCAACGTGGGTGTGTCGTTTTGGCACCCCGTCAGACATTTCCTCAGACAGGGGCTCTCAGTTCACGTCCGAGCTCTGGAACGCTGTGGCAGGCGGTTTGGGGGTTAAGCTGCACAGGACTACCGCTTACCACCCTCAGGCTAACGGTCTCTGCGAGCGCTTTCAATCGCTCCATGAAGGCGGCCCTCAAGGCCGGCCTTACGGACGGTAACTGGGTCGACAAGCTGCCCTGGGTGATGCTGGGCCTGAGGACCGCACCTAAGGAAGACCTGCAGTGTTCTACAGCGGAGAATGGTCTACGGTCAGCCGCTGAGAGTTCCGGGGGATTTCCTCCCAAATGCATCGGCTCCCTGGTCGGCGTCGGCCCAGCGGGCTTTCCTGCGTGACGCCGCTGTGGGCCTTTGTTCCGATCCCTACTACTCAGCACGGTACTCAGGTGTCCCAGGTTCCCGCAGAGCTCCGCTCGGCGGAGCACGTGTTCATCCGGCACGATGCGCACAGAGGCCCCCTGCAGCCCCCTTATGATGGGCCTTTCCGGGTCTTGAAGCACGGGGACAAGCACCTGGTGGTCGACCTGGGTGGCAAGGCCGAGCACGTCTCGGTGGACCGGGTGAAGGCTGCTCACCTGGACTTGGACCAGCCTGTGGTGCTGGCTCGACCTCCGCGACGGGGCCGCCCCCCGGCCTCGTCCCCTGTCACGGATTTAAGACCTGTTGTTCCGGTCCCTCCCCTTCCGGGGGCCGCACAGGCGGGAGTCACTTTTCCGACTCCCGTGCTCAGGAGTCGTGGGGGTCGGCGTGTCGTTCCTCCCCGCCATGCTGATTTTGTTTATGTGTGAATTCTGGGGGGGCTTGTGTGGTGACACGTTATTGGACATAATTCACCTTGCTTATTGTGTTGCCACACGGACCCTTTAGTGGGGAACA